TTCGGGCTAAGGCAATATAGGGATATTGACTTAAAAAAGTTGGGGGTCACCAGCCTTATTTTCAAGAAATTGATGGTTGTATTTTAGTGGAAAGTCGCCATTTTGACACTATTATAACACATTTACTACAGGTTCCTATGGAAGAGATATTATGTGTTATATCAAAAACAAGCCTGGTGACATAGGCTGAAAAAATCATATATTGTTAATGATGGAGTACTTTTTGTTGTTTTGAATTATTTAAAAAATCTGGGTTTTACAAAGTGTCAAACAATGCAATTGTTCTTTAACATTGTGCTCTATGGAATTGTTCTAAAAATAGCAATTTTCAAGAAATATTAGGACCCGTTTCTTAAAAAGCATAACTGTAACACACAAAATAATGCTATTTCATTGTACCATGAGACATTAGCTTCATGATTGTACATAAACTAATTAAAATTGCCATGCGATTTATGACTAATTTTGTCAAAAATTATGACTTGGCTTCTACCTTAAAAAACATAACATAGATCAGGACTCAAGGCATGCACTGAAAGGGTGTCCCAAAAAGTCCTAGAAAAATTTGTTTGAGTCCTGGAAAATGAAAGTCAGCATAGAAAGTCATTGCAAAGTGGTGTTTTGAAATCACCATTCAAATGCAAAGAAATTGATGTTTGGACTATCAGCTTAAAAAGCTATTACTGTCGCAAAGTGGTTTTTTGAAATGTAAGAAATGATTTTTCGATTCACAACGACATCTCGCGTAATTGCTTGAAAAGGCACATTCTAAACGTATGCTGCAAAAATCAAATGATTTGATTCTGGAATTCAATTTCTATTTTTATTGTGTCTTATTTTGAAAAGTCAAGCTTCCACCGGGGAATACATGTATAGCATTGTGATACATTTACTCTAGCAAAATTAACTATTATCAAATGTGTATAGCGCATTATTAAAGTATGAAAATACCTTAATACTTTTATGCTTGTCAAATCCCACATGATGTGTTGATGCCACTAATGAAACTATGGCTATGACCATTGTTCAATTTCATGCATAACACACGATCTGACAGTTAATGAAATATGGTCTGTTAATAGGGTTTGGACGATTTAGCATAAAAAGCCATTAATGTCGCATAAATGGTTTATTGACCAAAATTTTGATGAAATAGTTTGATAAAATTGAGGAAAATTTAGGAATTCAGGGTTTGCGCTAGTGTCTCAGCAAGACGAGTCCCACTTACAAAATTTTAAGAAATAGAAATTTGACCCTGGATAACTTTATTAGAGATTGGACCCCAGCTTGCCTGAAAAACTGGGTCCCTCTTCAATAATTGGAGTCTGGGAAGCAAAATATGGGGTTAACGCAATCCCTGGAATTTTATTAAATTTCAAGTTTACAAACCCTGTACATGATTTTACATGAGTTTTCTAATTACATCTACTTGATATATATTTGTATATTTCAGTTGGTGCTCAGTCACAATCATTTAGTGTGACACCAGTCTATACGTCAGTCATAGAAGGGAGAACAACGTCTTTAAATTGCTCAGTACAAAATAAAGCTGGTGATTTGCAATGGACAAAAGATGGATTCGGTCTTGGAGCCAGTCGCAGTCTACCTGCATATGAAAGATATCAGATGATTGGCAATGCACTGAATGGTGAATACTTCCTGGAAATCCAAAATGTGGACTTGTCTGATGATGCTGACTATACCTGTCAAGTCACTGCAACGTTAGGTAGTCGTAGTATCGCGTCTGCACCAGCCCATCTCAATGTGTTGCGTAAGTATTATTCAAAGCTCAAATCAACTTCTTTGCTTTGTAGTTGTTTGACAATGAACATGGTCGACTGTCAAATAGAAACGATGTTCAGAAACACCAAATGACAGTTGACTATGGTCAGAGAGGAGATTTGACTGTGATCAGAAAAGATTTGACTTTGCTCAGAGAAATAAGACATTTGAATCTTCTGTGACCATGGTTTTGCTTTCTATCACTTCACCACATATTTGCTTTTACTGTTTTGAAACATTGAGTATTACATACCAAGTAAACAAAAAGAAATTTCTAACGAATTAGACACATCAAAATATGATTCAACGATATAGTTTCAAAACGACGTCAAGAATTTTCTCATTCTCTTTACACTGGCAGATTATTCCATTATAAACTATTATGAATAATAAAATTCTACAATCACCAACTTTTATTATTTTTTTAGAAAGTCATTTGATTATATTACCCAGTTAATACATGTACACAGGCTTTATAAGGGAAAGAGTAAAACATGGTCCTCTCAAATGAAAAAAATAAATGTGTAATTTTTTTCAAAACTCAAGATAATGAGGGTATTGTAGAGAACAATACCATAAACAAAAACAATGTGTCACCAACCTGTTTAAATAATATTCATGCTACACCTAATACATGTGGAAATAAAAAGTATTCTCGTGGGAAGCGCTTCCACTTCCACTGTGAAGTATTGTGTTTATGCTAATTATAATAACTATAGGTTATATCGTTTCCTGAAAACCTTGAGATTTTTTTTTTTTGCACAGCTATAGGTGGTGAAAATAAAACCCTAAAAATAAAATATTTTCTCAGTATATAAAATGCACTTTCTATTATTTGGTATTACATGTATGTCCACACTCGTACAAGCCAAAATTCAAACCAACAGGGACTGTGCACACATGACAAAAATAAAACTGTTTTCATACATTCTTAAACATTTGTTTGGAATTTTAATATGACTATTGAATATATTTGTTGTTCTTTAGTGGCACCAGATAATCCCGTTATTGTTGGGTATGACAACGGCACCGATGTGACTGTACAGCCTCCTGCAACTGTTGTGTTAGTATGTCGCAGTGAGAATGGTAAACCTGCTGCAGCACTGACGTGGCTGCAGAACGATGAAGCACTTGTTTATGAAGTTCCTGAGGAAAGCGTTGAGACCGCAGGCAAATTGGAACATGCAGTCAGTACGTTGACTTTACAACCAGAGAAAGAAGATAATGGTAAAGAATTTAAGTGTATAAGTGAACATGAAGCGTTGATGGGAGTCCAGTTATTCACTACAGTCACCCTAAGTGTACAGTGTAAGTCTTTAATATATTTTACTTTTCAATTACAAAATTAATTTCTGGTCTAATCTTTTGAAAATAGGGAACAACGTGTACCTTTGGTACCCTGTTCAGAAAGAACACTGGATTAAACACCGAATAGGGATCAACCCTACTTTTGGTACCTTGTTCAGAAAGAACACTGGCTTAATCACCAAATCTATGGTACTTTGGTAGTTGAGGGTATTCTCAGCCACTTAAATGTACTGTAATTTTTTGTGACTTCTTGTCACTTTCCATAATCCAGGAAAATGTAAATGTCTTGTGTGAAATGAAAGCAATTTACAAATAACAATTGACAGATTGTGAATATGTTTAATTGTTTTGGTTATCATCAAACATGTACTGTAGAATTCTTTATTTTCGCTTGGAATTAATTTTCGCTGTGGGAATGGTTCAGTGAAATCAAAATCCAGCGAATATACCTTTTTTCCTATATTTTACATTCAACTTATCAAAAATCAGTGAAAATAAATTCCATACAAAACGCCCAAAAAGTCTTTTCAGCGGAAATTAATTCCAGCTAAAATAAAGTATTTTACAGTATTGTGTCTTACTATTCTATAGTTGCACCAGACTTGCCAGTCATTACTGGATATACTGAAGGTACCACCATACGATCTGGAGAAGAACTTGTCTTGAATTGCATAGCTAGAGGGGTAACCCATTAGCACAGGTGAGGAGGACATATTTTGGTTTCTGCAGATTTTTTCAAACTCATTTTGAATTGTACAACAATGCATTTTAATGGTCACCTCATGATAAGAATGAATTGCAGCATCTTAGTAAATGTTTATTTATAATGGCTCAAAAAATAATATTTAATAATTCTGGTTTTTCACACAAGAAAAAATTAATGTTGGGAAATTTTAAAATAAAGCCATGTGCTCTCTTTGTTTAAAATATGGTATGGGGGCAGTGAAGAATTGTTGCCATGTAAACCATTGTTAAAACGTCTTTTTTTCAAGTTCTGAATGTAAATTTGTTTATATAGGTTTAGGTAAATGGTTTCATTATTATCATTGATTTTTACTTCAACGGTTGCATCAGTGTCATTGATTTTTATTTCAACTCAACAATTGTTACTATATTTGCAGTTAACCTGGTGGAAGGATGACGAGTTGATAGACTTTTCATACTCGACTGACGGAAACCAAGCTGTCAATCCACTATTATTAAAAATAGGATATAGTGATAATAATGCAAAGTTTACATGTATGGCAGAAAACTTGATTACCCCGGTACCTTTAAAGACTTCCATCACACTCACTGTGCATTGTAAGTACAAATTTGATTACCTCAGTACCTTTAAAGACTTCCATCACATTCACTGTGCATTGTAAGTACCGGTAAACATTTTATTACCCCGATACTTTTTACAGTCCGGAAAATTTTAATATGTTTTGATTCTTTTTTGTTCTAGTTACTCCATCACATGTAAATATCACCGGGTACGACCATGCAGTGAAGGCAGGTGATTGGGTAACACTAACCTGTAAATCTACTAACAGTAACCCACCGTCGTTCATCACCTGGTGGACAGCAGGACGTCAAGTTAAGACGTCTGATGATGTTGTAGTGAAAGCCCCAAATGGTGGTTATATTACGTCTCAGAATTTAACGGTGGAATTGAAGGCTCAGACTGATAGTGTTCTTTATACCTGTCAAGCTACAAATGAGGAACTACTACAATCTGTATCTAATTCCGTGACCCTCAGTGTACAATGTAAGTTGTCTTTTATCAGTTTCTTGATATTGCACATTTTCACCCTGGCCCGTATCATCAAAGATGGAAAATTTCTGAAGACTTTCTGGTAACGTAATGCGGAAGTGAATTGTCGATGTCGAAGTACGATCTGTTGGAATTGATTTCCTCGAATAAACGGCATGGTTTTTTCAAAAAATTGGGAACTAGCAATTTTGATAGGTAAACGGAATATGGCATGAAATATCATATTAACTTACAGCCAATAGCTGACTAATTATGTACCTGTTTTCGGGGGCAGAATATGTCATGTTGGGTGGACCTGCACCATTGTATCATGTATTTTTATGGGCTCTGTGTGATCTGCTGTGAAATGCTGGTCGAAGAGTCGGTGAAAACAGCACAAGTCAAAAAAATAGCACAAACTCAACTTTGGGGGAATTCTGAACACCCAAAATTCATATACGTCACACATGTAAGGATTACTCTCATCACACACTGTTCAGGAGAGTCTCAACAACTATCCAAAAGTACAGTTTAGTGAGAATTTTCGATAGTTGTTTTCACCGATGCTGGTTACCAGGCAGTGAAAATGCCAAATGTTTGCTTCGAGTAATTGTGTAGGTCTGAAAGACCAAAAAGCACATCAATTCTGCTAATTAACTCTTAATAACTATAATTTTTACAGATCCTCCTGATCAGCCTCTCATCTCTGGATACAGCGAGGGCAGTATAATCAAAGCAGGTAACTTACTACGAATGACTTGTGTATCAGTTGGTGGTAACCCGAGAGCTGATCTAGTGTGGTTAAAGAATGGTCAGATATTGGAAGATGTGGGTAACTATGCAACCAGTGGTAACATAGCAACCAATGAATTAAGTATCATCGCAGAGCAGGCAGATAATGGAGCAGAGTATGCATGTAATGCTAGTAATGCAGCAACTTATGAACCATTAATGACAAGTGTTGAGCTTAATGTATATTGTAAGTAATTCTTTCAACATCAATTTAGTCATCTTTCACACTCAAACAAAGCCTAATACACGTGCGTCCTGGATTTATAATACTGTAGATTACTTTATTTTCGCTTGGAATTAATTTTCGCTGAATGGATGAAGCGAATGGACATTTTTTCCTATGTTTTACATTCAACTAGTCAAAAATCAGTGAAAATAAATTCCATACAAAACACTTAAAATAAAAAGTGTTTTCAGCGAGAATTAATTCCAGCAAAAATAAAGTATTCAACAGTACCAGAATACTGCAAACCGCTTTAATTTTCACGAAAGCAAGTTTTCATCAGTAGCAGTAAAAATTTCTATGAGGGTCACTGAGTGTCAGTGACTTCACAAAATGTTGTCTTTACGAATGCTATATAATCGGGAGTTATTTGTTTATGTAGAGGTCATGTGTAAGTAGAAGTCAAAATTAAAGGGCGGTAGTCGTCTTGCCACGCATGCGCAAAATATATAGGTCTCATATAAAGAAAGATGGCGACTTTGACTGTTGCGCAGATCAATGAGTACAAACTGAGATGTTACCAAGCTATAATTAGGTATTTTCAAGTGATTTTGGAAGGTATTAAAGGAGTCACCGGCGGTAATTAATGCAAGTCGCGCCAAAGTCAAACCTCATTACTTGTGATTTCAATTAGAAGAGCGCATTGGATTGTGGGAAAATCAATGTTTATCAACACAAATGTCGCACATGCGCAGCGTAAATGTACAAATTGTCTGTCTCTGTGGACAGGCGAATAACGATA